TTCTTTCACAGATGAGTTTTTAAAGTGCATTGCAAAACTGTAGCTGGGAATTCTCATATCAAGGCAAATTTAGTGGAGAGTGATGGTAGTGGTCAGAAATCAGACATCAGCGAGGCCTGCTCTACAGCAGAAGTTATCACCACATGAATCCAAATTGAAAGATAATTCCCCAAACATTGGAAAAAAGGCTATTGGTACTAACAAAACTACATCTCAAATCGACAGGTAATGGGGAGGCAGTGTACTAACTTCTCATGCAAATGAAATATACATATTCACCTTAGCAATGTGTGCTTTCTTTTTCACCACAATGCCCCACTCAGCTAAAATGTCCTCCTGGGAACCAAGAAGAGGGGGAAGGTGACAGAATCCCAGGAGACTGAAATGTAGGGACAATGGAAGGGTAAAAGAACAAGCACTGGCAGAAAAAGGGTATATCTCTCTCCCCCCAGATACTATTGGCCTGGGGGAAAACTCCGTTCTACCAACCCTAGATACAACTCTGATAAACTGTGTACTTGATGCCCTTCACTAAAACTTTGATGCCTGGAATGAAGGTGACCTTGAGTTGTTGAAAGCTATACTAGTGGAGCAGAAGCTCTGGCTGGTCTTCCCCATCTGGAATGACTTCAAGTGTGGGCTTGGCAATGCATCTGACAGCCAAGTTTAGAGAGTCTTATCACCCCACCAGAAATTTAGCTACTAGGACTGACTTTTCTTTACCATGGGATGATTATTTTTTTGTCCACAGAAATCAAGGAAGTTAGTCTAAGAGGGGCCAGGGTCACCATTTTCATCAGTAGAGGGAGTGCCCTCACAAATGAAAACAAGAGTCTTTTGAAGTATTGAGGTACACATGGTACAAGGCTGCTTAAACTTCTCTACATACTCCCAATGATCACTGTGACATTTCCTGTTCTTTACCTTGTACTTGGGAGAGGGAACATGATGTCACACAAAGATTACTGGCCTTGGACTGAAGTGAGACCAAGCTTTTGAAAGCCAGCATTGCTCTATACCTTCTATAAGACCCTGGGCAAGAGGCATCATCTCTCTATGTCAATTTTCCTTTCTAGTGGGGAACAATATACTTTCTTCCTGGGTCCATTTGAGCAATGCAATTTGTAAATCTTAAAGTATTAAGTGAGAGATGAAGCTCAGTGCCTCTTGTTGCCCTGAGAGGGAAGAATCCAAGGGCGAGAACTGGGCCTGAAGCGATCACAGGCTGCTTTGAAAATGATGAAAGGGTTTGGTGTGGGAGAACAAGGTAAAGGCCTACCCAGCTGAGCAAGCCCAAATGTATCCCCTGTGCTTTGAATATGGCTTCTCCACATTCAACAGAGAAGGATGTAATGCAGAGGACACTTCAGTTCAATGATTATAGCTTTGCAGTGCTTAGTAAAACTTTTAACTCTTCTTAACAGGTTTATTTTATTTATTTCTAAATTCATTGTTCACTTATCCAATTACTGAATCAAATGCATTTGATTAGAAACTGAAAACAGACATTAAAAGCATAGCCCACTTAAGTGAAGAAATAGCAAATGGTAAAGTGGGTGTCCAGGAATATATTCTCTACTCTTTATTTTATAAAATGGGAATTAGAATTTTATAGAATGATAGGATATTAAAGGTAGAAGGAGCTATCTGTTCATAGAGTATTCATATGTAAGCTTTATAAGGATCTGTAACAATTATAAATAATCTGTAAGGTTCCTTTTGACTCTAAATTTTTCTTTGCTTGTAATTCAGGTAATTTAATTATGGATAAGGCACATGGGTTGGAATGCCTTTATCCACTGGGGTATTAGCAGGGTTTGAAATCCTTGTGAATTTTCTCATGGCCAGCTGCCAGCCTTAAGTAACTTAACTCCCAGTTGGTTCTCTGTTGAATATTCTTCCCTTTAACAAAATCCTAGTGAAGGGTGGACTGAACAGACACTGAAAGTTGGGGGGTGGGGTGGAGAGAACTTCTTTGAGGGATTTGGGCTGAGCTCTGCCCTCCTCAAACTCTTCTGAACGTTGTCGACCTGTTTTCACTTGAAAAAAAAATGCTCAAAATTAGCTGTTACATGATAATTGTGTCCTTCCTCCTGCTTCCTTTTAGCTTTTCTCAAAATACAAGTCACACATAGTCAGACATTTTACTGAGTTTTTTTGTCTTCCTTTTTGTTTTATGGTTCTCTGGGAAAAGCAGGGCTAGGAAAAATTCTTATTTTTAAAAACTTATTGGAATTTCTTAACACCACCTGTTCACTGCCTCTGTATAATTCGAGGATTGAACAGAAGTGTGTATGTATAGATAAACTGGTAATGATTTTGTTCAAAAAATTTCAAATAAGAAAAGAAAATTTAGATTCCATGCCTCTCTCTATAGTTAAAACAGTACTCATTTGTATTTATCATTGCAGTACAGAACTATTGTCTGGGGTTGATTTGTGTCAAATAGACCAAAGAGGAAAACATTTATTGTATTGTCTTTTCTCTTAGAATATACAATGCTGTAGATCTCTCAGGGTGGGAGGAAGAAGAGGAACAAGGAGAAGGGGAGATTTGGCAAAGAGTGTGTATGTATGTGTATACACTCATGCATACATACATAGCACATATATGCATATACTTACATATCTATTATACTTGGCTTATTTTTATGGCAGAGGTTTTGGAAAACTTTAACAGCAACTTCTTGGTCTAGAAGTTGTAACTATAGTGAGATCTTCACTTTCCCCAGTAAAACACTATAGGAAATCATATTTTTAACTTGATGGAAACTTAAGATTTTGTAAATAGGTAAATATTTTGAGACCAAAATGCTGCAGAAACTTAAAGGAAATATATTTGCTTGAAAGAATATGCTCACATGTAGAAGTTTTGTGCCTTTAATGGGTTGTCATGTCAGAAAGAAAGAAAAAATGCTTAACCTAATAGCCTAACTTCTGGTGATGAGCCTTTGTAGATACAGTTAGCCAAACTGGACCTTGGACAGTAGATGTAGTCTGTCCTTGGCTTTGAAGTCTTTTGGCTTACTAGGACATGCTGGGACTTACTTTTCACTGGCATAGCCCTCAAAACCTAGGGTCACCTCTATGCCACAGTGAAGCATTGAGAGTTGGTGTTTTGGGTAAATTCATGATTTTACAGTATCAGACCTGTGGTATAGTCTGTATTTTCATTAGCAGACTTACTTAGCACAGTGCTTGGTACATAGTAATTGCTTAATAAATGCTTATTGATTGATTACTGATGGTATTCATGTTATAACCAAATGGGGGGGGGGGAAGCCTCTGAAGGAAGCTGCTCTAACTAAAGAGTTGGAAATGCCTGTATTGGAAAGTATGTATTCAGCCAGTGAATGTGAAATTTACTGTCACCATTAGCTAAGACACATTAGTTCCTGTGTACCTTATAGACTTAGTTGTGACACAGTAATCTAATCACTTTAGATAAATTACACAGTACTTAGCACAGTGCCTGGCACACAGTAAGAGCTTAATAAATGTTTATTGACTAATAGAAAAATCAAAGACCTTGAACAGCCACAGATTTTGTATCCAAGGTCTTTCTTCAGGTCTGCCTATCACCATGCTGGAATTTTGAATAAATGTAATTGTCTTAGCGTAGTGATAACATTATACCCCACTTTTCTAGGGGTCATATTTCTGGTAACTTCAACCCTTAGGAATAATGCATGAAGTTCTTTGGAAATAAAAAGAAGAAAACTGCATAGCAGGAGGGGAATGAGTGTCTCTAAATTCTTACGTTAAATCAGGCTTTTATATTTGTGGGTAAAACTTTAATGACTTTTGCAGTTCTCAAAGTAGTTACCTGTTTTCTCAACCCTACTAGGAGCCAGTTACTTCTGGCAGGCTCTCTAGGGATTTATTGGAAGCCTGGAATAGAGAGGGAAGATGCAGAAATGTCTTGAATATAAGAATGGATGCTCATAGTAATGCACTAAATAAAATCTTCAAGAAAAGAAAAGAAAACTCTGCTTAAGGAGGCAGTCTGGTAGAAAAGACATTTTAGAAAGGTTTCCATCAAAAGTGACTAAATTAAAAATAGGGAGGGGGGTGTTCTTGTCCTTACTTTCATCTGGAAAATAATGTCCCCCAGCCCCCAGATAAATTGAGTCATTCTCTATGTGTCTAAAAAAAGACTACCAAAAATTTGAGTTATAACTACTTAAAGTGTTTGCAACTGTTCATGACTTTGTCATTTTAGGATTCAAGCCCCCCAAAAATGTGGCAGGGTATGGAACAGGAAGAGTTCTCAGGGTTAAAATGTTATCAGCCCTCTTCAAAAGTGTTGTTCTCCTCTTTCCTCCAATACTGATTTCCATTTTTGACACCTTCTTTGCAGTTACTTAATAGTCCTCAAGTGGGACTGGGGGAGAACTCTTTTAGCTAGTTATTAATACTGCTCACATCTCTCCCTGCTGGGGGTCATTTGAGCCAGAGCTTAGTTTTCTCAGCTATCAATACCCACAGTAGCGGGCATCATCTCTTAGAGCTAAGCCTTGGAAGAGCTTGATAAGGAGATTCTTGGGCAACAAATAGATCCTCCTCCACTTAGTTTTGGCAAATTGAATTTAATCGAATAAATCATAAAAGATTTAGGACTCTACCTTCCAGTGTAGAAATTATCTGAAGGAAAAAAATATATTTTCTTGAAACCGGTAGGATTGGGAATAGGAGAGAGGAGGGTTTTATGTGAAAGGAAGTAAATATAGGCATGTTATTAAATGCAGCCCTTGAAAAGTTTGGACTTTTTCCCTGCCCTTAGAGAGATAGCCACCTTTGTGTTTATGTAAATAAATAAAGACACTGGAGGCTTTTGGACACTGAGTAGTTAACTGTATAAAGGCCCTGTAGACTACTTACTGTGAAGAAATCTAGAAACAAGAATACATTTTTTTTTTAACACTGTAATTTGGACTCCTAATTAAACACTTACTTTCCAGGAAAAATATTTAACTGTAGAAACTCCCCAATTTGTTTCAGGTCGGTCTTCTCTCTTTCCCTTTGAAGATGCCTTTCTAGAGGACAGTCATGGTGACCAGTCCTTATCATCAGGCCTGAGCTCTCCAACTCGCTGTCAGAATGGTGAAAGAGTGGAACGCTATTCTAGAAAGGTGTTTGTTGGGGGCCTCCCTCCTGACATCGATGAAGGTACTCTGTGTGTGTGTGTGTGTGTGTGTGTGTGTGTGTTTGTGTATTAATTAACATGTTTAAGAAAGAATTGTCTTGTATTTAATGTTAGCACTTTGAGAACAGGAATTGTTTCATTCTTGGCAGAGTGCCTGGTACATAGTAGGTGATTTATAAATACTTGTTGATTGATTTAAAAAACAGACCATGCCCATCATAGCTAATGGTCTGTTCTATTGTCTGTCTAGGGTATTGGCTTATCATTCCTGGGAAAGGTCAAAGTGGAGAGTAGTAATGTGTCATATGTAGAGCAGTAAGATCCATGTGGGTGTTCTTCCCATGTAGACTTCCTTCATAGGGACTCAAAAGGCAAAAGTCCTTCATATAGACTTGCTTTCCAGAACCTCACAGGTAGGCAGGGAAGGGATCCTACATCATTCAGAGTTTTTATACCTCAGTTATAAATTTGAGTATGCTGATAATTTCCAAGGCTTTAACCAAAACTTCAGCTATTATACTTAGACATATTTAACATTATATGTAAACATGTTTATATATATACATATATATGTATATATACAGATATGTATATATACATATATATCTATATATATAATCATTACACACTTATATGTAAGCATGACCTACATATCCCCTACACAGCATGGTATTGTAGAGGAAGGGTCAGGAAGACCTGTGTTCAAGTTTTGCCTCTGACACATTATGGCTTTGTGACCTTGGGCAAATCACTTAACCTCTCATTGTCCTAGGCAACTAAGACTAAATAGGTATTGACCTGTATTGGTGGAGGGAGTTTCCTCTCCAAAGAAAACACAAGTCCAGTCCCTATCACATAGATGTAAACAAGACTTGCTTATAAGGGTGAAAGCAATAATTAGGAAAATTAGTTGATTAAAACTAGAAAATTTTATCATGAATTAATGTATTATGATAAATATTTAGGTAACTAATAGTCCTAAGTGAAAACTTTCACTTTTGCCTAAAATTCAGTCTAAACATAGAAATGGGAAAATGGAAAAATAGTAAAGTATCAGGTGACTTAAAAAAAGTTTGTGTCAAGGTCAGTTCTAGTAGGTCTGTGACCTACTTAAGAAAATCTTAGGAATGAATCCTTTTGGTAGCTCTTAAATATTTCTAGAAAATAGAAGTTAATTTTTTGCTAGAAAGGAAGAAAGGAAATTGGTTTGGAACATTAACACTAACTTGGCTGCTTTGTTAGTCATGAGTTCCTCATCACTCCTCAACATTCTATGTGTTCAGGCAGAGGATGCATGATTGTTTCTTATCGATGTTAAAGAGGATTCACTTAGTGGGTAAGGACTGGACTAGACGACTTTATGATGCTAATAATATTCTCTTTGAACTTATAAAGCAGGATAGAGCTGGAGCATCTAATTATAAAGTCCTCTTCCTGGTTTAAAAATTAATCTTAGTTCTTCCCATAGTGTTGGCTTGTTTGTCTCTCCCTGCCCACAAATAGAGTTTTTCATTTGTTGCTGAAAGAGCTGTTAATTTCATACCTGACTAAAGCTGTCTTAGTAGATTATATTAATCTTCTGCCATGAGTCAAAAAAGAGATTCCATTCAATTTACTAGGATTTTTAAAAAGTGTTTCATTGAAGATGAGAGTATATAAACATGGGCTGTAACCAATTTATTTGTCTTAACACTGTTATTCCATGTACCTATTAGGGAAACACATTTTCTGCTGGCAAAAGATACCAAAAAAGAAAAAAAAACTTGTAGAAATAGAATGTGATTTCCTATTTCAAAATGACTTATGAACTACATATTTTCATATTCTGTGCATCTTTGCTCTTTTCTGAAAATAAAATTTTAAAAAAATTCTTATTTTTTTTAACTTGTTTTCCTCAAGACCAAGCTCTGTGTTTCCATTCTCTATGGTGCAATAAGGGAAATTTGTAATATAAAAGTGAGAAACTGAGTTTTCATGCTTTTAAGTGAATTAATAGAATACTGATTTAGTGCAATTTTATAGATGACTTTCAGCTTCTCTTGTTAAATGGCTTTAGGAAACAACCCTTAGGGCATTTTTAAAAGCAGGGTTCTGTATTTTGCTGCTTGGCAATTTCCTTTTCCCCCCCTAAATCTCCTTATTTGTTTTTGTAGATGAGATTACTGCCAGCTTTCGTAGATTTGGACCTCTTGTGGTGGACTGGCCTCACAAAGCTGAAAGCAAGTCATATTTTCCACCTAAAGGTAATAAGCTTACAATGCCTATACAGCCTGTTTTTAGAACTAGTGTGACAAATCAATAAAAGGCAGCCTTTTAACTCTTGAAGTGGCTGGGATTTTTTTTTAATCCATTGTAATGTGGTTGTTAATATATGGAGAGAGAAGATAGCAAGCCCGTTTCTCCAATGCCACGCTACTGGTTTCGTAGTCTTATCCACGAGGAAGTAGAATACCATCTGGAACCAGCCTTTAGCTCATGTTGATTTCTTACTTTTGGAATGAATGTGGGGAAGGAATGCTGAGATCTATTGATTATTTTAACTCGTCTCATTCAAAGGCTAAATCCATCTCCTGGCCTAAATTCTGAGGTTGATTTTTGTGGGGGGAAAATAAGGAAACTTAATATGTTTTTAACTATTATTAACCTTGAAATGAAGAAACTCTCCCAACCTGGGGCCAGGAGTACGTGGTGAGGGTGGTAATTTGAGATGAGTTTATCTTTATCCCCATATATCAACATTGGGACAACTTATCAAAGTAAAAGCTAGTACATGACTCTTAAAAACTCCTGACTTTTTCCAGGTTGTTTTGGGATTTGTTTTTGATATTTTTTTTAAAGTTTTATGGTTGCCTTTTGTATTTGTATTACCTTTTTTCCTTAACTTTCTCTACTCCTTTCCATATTGAACTCTCGTTTGAATGGAGAAAAACATTTAAGTAAACCAGCTAACACAAGCGTGGACAGCATTTACTTCATCACCACATCCAAAGTCACCCCCTCTCAACTAAGAGGAAGAAGTCTTCTTGTATGTCACTTTTCTAAGAGCAAAATTGTACATTATAATTCATCAGAGTTCTGCTTTTTCATGATATTGTTTACATTTCTGTCCTGTGTATGTTGTAACCTTGGTTCTGCTCGATTCATGCATCACTCCATATGGGTCTGCCCACATTTCTTTCAATTTCTTATATTCATCATTTCTTATAACAAGATAATACTCAGTTTATATCCTTGGACCAAGATCTTTTGACTCAATTTCACTCAATAGGCATCCATTTTGTTTGCTTTTTTTTTTTTTTTGCCACTGAATATTTCATTGCATATAGGAATTTTTTCCCCTGATATTGACCTCCTTGGGTTATATGTCCAGAAATGGGATCACTGGGTCATGAATAGCCTAGTGACTTCTTATTTATTTCCAAATAGTTGGACTAATTCATAGCTTCACCAGCAGTGACTTAGCGTTCCCCTCACACCTTCAGTATCTTTTTTTTTTTAAGTCACTTTTGCCCATTTGGATGTGAGGTGAATTTGACTTATTTTCTTTTCAGTGGATCAAATCATCTGTTGTTTTTCTGGGGATAACAGTTTGTGTTAAAACCAGGGGGTTTGATTTGGCTAATACTAGGGGCATCACCTACTTGTGTACCACTTACCAAGTATTTGTCGCTAAAAATGACATCATCTTGTGGATTATCCTGAAAACAATTTTGGGAGGGACAGGTGCTATGTTTTATTATGCAGCACCAGCTCACTGGACAACAAAACAGGATGAGAAAACAAGCTTTAGACACAGTTACCCCAAATTCTGCAAGTCTTTTCTGTGCCTTATGTGGACTTAATTGATTTTTGCCCCAAGGTTGTGGCTTAACCTAGGGAGTGAAGGCAGCATCTTGTTGACCTAATTGTAAGTGATTCAATCTAAGGCGACTTCTCTCACTGACCCCCTTATTCACAAACTCTAAATAATTTACTAAGCACCATCAATTTTTAACTTAATTCTATAGAATTTCCTCATCTAAAAGACAAAAAATCAACTTTGTTATTCAGCAAAGGCTAAGCCAGTCTCCTGTCTAAGTAATTCATATGGCCCTGAGGATGATCTTTATGGGAAATAAGAGGAAATTTAGTCATACTATGATAATGAGGGAGCAGCTTTCAGAAGACTTTGGTAGAGGGGTTTTAATAAAAAAAGACAACCCTCTCCTTAGGCCTTATAACCTAAGGTAGAGGGTAAGCAGTCCAGAAAAGAGAAAGAAAAGTCTTATTATAATTATTACTCCATTCATATTTGAATCCTCACCTACCTTTCTCAATTTATATCCCTTCTTCTCTTTGCAAACTTTTTGTCAAACTGGCCTGTTACTGTTTCCTACGTGCAAAATCACATCTCCTGCCTCAGTATCTTTGCACAGGTCATCCTGCTATGTCTGGCATGAGCACTCCTCTTTCACCTTTGCATTTTTGGATTCTTAAAGCACAGTCTAACTCGCTCTTAGATCAGGCCTTTCTGAATTTCCATCTCCTTTCCAGTTGCTAGTCCTCGCTCCCTCTTGAAATTATATTGTATTTTCTGGATATTTATTTTGTATTACATGCATGTACAAGTTGCATTTGTACAAGACACTATAAACTCCTTCAGGGCCATGATTGTTTTTGTATCCCTGGTACCTAGCTCAGTCCCCAGCACACAAATGCTTAATAAATGTTTGAATAGAATGTTGGCTGTAGCTAATTAGTTCATCTTAAACAATTCAGTTTTATTTATAACTGGTTTCTGGCTATGTAGTAATTAGCAGTTCTTCTGTAGGTGTGCCTTTCTTTAGGTAGAGTTGAAATTGATCAAATGTTTTTCTTAGTACATTTCAGGCTTACGAAGAAATAGGACCTAGCATCTTACATCTAGGGGCAGCTTTTGAAGTAACCTGGTTCCAATGACTTCCTTTTGCTAGCTGCCTGAGCTGATGCAGCTTTTTGGGTATGGATTGGACTAACTAGCTTGCTGCAGTCCCTTCCAATTCTAAAAGTCTGACTGTGGAATTAACGTATCTTGGCCTTCTTAAGTATTTGAACAGACCACAATTGAGTCTTTTAAACTTGCCGGGAACCCAACGAGCAGGGGAGATAGTAAGGTTGCATTGACTAGCGGTTTATGGTTCTACTTGTGACAGGCTCCTGTGAAGACAAGAAATAATGGTTTTTGATGGTTTTATCAGCAGCCCTTTGAGAACTGAAAGACAGATGATGTGAATATACCCCAAAAGGAAGGAAGAGTTTTTGTTCCAGGCAGAATTCTTTTTTTTTCACTTTATTATTAATTTATCAACAAATTCTATAAGCATTTGAGTTTTAAATTTTTCTCCCTCTCCCTCCCCACTACCCTCCCCAAGACAGCATGCAATCTGATGTAGGCTATACATATACATTCCTATTATACATATTTTCACATTAGTGATGTTGCAAAGAAGAATTAGAACCAATAGGAGGAACCACAAGAAAGAGAAAACAAAACAAACAGAAGAAAAGAATAGCAAATAGTATGCTTCAATATGCATTCATACTCCATAGTTCTTTCTTTGGATGTGGATAGCATTTTCCATCATGAGACCTTTGGAGATGTCTTAGATCCTTGCATTGCTGAGAATGGGCTAAGTCTATCAACGTGAGTCATTGCACAACGTGGCTGTTACTGTGTAGGATGTTCTCCTGGTTCTGCTCACTTCACTCAGCATCAGTCCATACAAGTCTTTCCAGGTTTTTCTGAAGTCTGCCTGCTCATCATTTCTTATAGCACAATTGTATTCCGTTACATTCATATACCACAACTTGTTCAGCCATTCCTTAATTGATGGGCATTCCCTTAATTTCCAATTCTTTGCCACCACAAAAAGAGCTGCTATAAATATTTTTGTACATGTGGGTGCTTTTCCCATTTGTATGATCTCTTTGGGATACAGTCAGGCAGAATTCTTATTCTTCATATCCTATAAAGGTAGAAGGACATTTGCAATTGAATCACTGAAAGTTCTAAAGAAAGAAAAGTGCAATATTGAGGGAAAATCATTTTTGATTTTCTTGCTCAGACTCATTAGCTTTGTGACCTTAAGAAAGTCACTACATTACTGACCTTCAGTTTCTGCCTGTGTAAAATAGTATCTGCTTTAGGGATCATTGTAAAGATTGAAGATTTAGAGTTGGAAGGGATTGTAAAGGTCATTTGGTCAAACCTTTTTATTTTACAGTTGAGGAAACAAGTCCAGAGAGTCCAACTTGGATTTATTTGTCTAAGTTCTTACAAGTAGAAAGCATCAAAGATAATATTTGAACCTAAATCCCTTGACTCTCAAATCAGTGATCATTTTCTGTTGTCACCACCTCTGAAATGAGGGAATGCATTTAGGGTACTTTGGGATCCTCAAAACACTATATAATTGTTAGCCATCTTGTTTGATATGAATGTAGCTATTTTTTTTTATAGTTTAATGAGTAAAGACAACTGAAGAGATTACTATGGGAATTTTTTCAAAAATGAATTTATGTGAGTCTCCCTCAGTGATAACAAACTTAACACTTTGAAAACGTGTATCAATAGTGTTTTCATTTTGAATGATTGCTAAATTGAAAATTCCTCAATAGGAATTATATCTTCCCTTCCTTATATATCTCAATACATTGTTAGGCACTCAAATATTGGTTAGTTGAATAAACAATTCATACAATTACAGTTAAATCCGACTTCATTCAGAATATTCTCTCATTCTTCAAAATGTAGCTTAAGTTCTGCTTCCTCTTGTAACATATCTTCTCTATGACTCAGTTTATATCACTGTTAGTACTATGACATTAGTACCTTCCGAGACACTGACTTTTTCTCTAATTGTCTGTTATCCAATTTATTTATTCATTCATTTATTAATTGTTATCCACTTTAAAGGTTTGTGTACTATCTTGTTCACTGATTGCCTCATGTGTGTCTTGGCTCCCCAAGTAGATCATAAACTCCTTTTGAATCTTGATACCCTAAAGTGCCAAGCATAGTGCCAAATATACCATGAGTAATTGGAGGGAAAAAATTCCTTGGTTGACTGATATAGGAGTGGAACAAGCAAGAAAAGATGATGGACCTTTTTCTGTCATGCATGTAGATTTACTCTTTTTTTCTTATCTTCTTTTCCATTACAATGGGAAATGGAGAGGAATCTCCTGTCATATAATTACCTCTTGTATCTTTAAAATATAAGGC